CGGGGCGGGGGGCGGTAGCGGGGCGGGAGAGAGACTTTATTATCAAAAGCAAAGAAGAATTCTGACCTGGATTGTACCTCGGTCGCCTTCTCCGAGCACCACCCCACCGCGAGCGCTAGGGGGCGCTCTCGGCTGGTCCTGCGGGACAGCCATCTGCACACGGGCTGCTCTGGGCATGCACTTCCTGCAGTTGTAGGACAACGTGGCAAGTGCTTTCCGGGTACGTTTTTCTCCCCGAAAGGGCCTCACTCTTGCCTTTACGCTTTCCCGGAAAGCATCCTAGCCCCGAATGGAAGAGCAGCCTCAGCCTTGGTTCTCCAGTTCCCTCCTGACTACAGACGGTGGTAGCAGATGCGTCTGGTGCGTTTGAAGGCCATGTCCATTTGTCTCCTTTTAGGCAGTGAACTCTGGGGAACTCCGGGCGTTTGACTGGGGGAGCGAGACCAAAAATCTGGAGAAAGGCAATCAGGTAAGAAAATCAAATGCATCCTGTTTTGGCAATAAACGGGAGGGAAGTGATCGCGGCAGGGTTTCTGTTTTGTTTTGTTTGTTTTGGTTTTGTTTTTGTTTTTTGTCAAGGCGGGAATAAAATATGAGAATTTGGCCAGCAGCTAACAATTCGGGCTTGACTCCATTTGAAAAGAGAAGTTCAGGGGCACCTGGGTGGCTCGGTCAGTGAAGCATCAGACTCTTGCTCTCAGCTCAAGTCTTGGTCTCAGGGCCATGAGTGAAATCAAGCCCAGCGTTGTGCACCACTGGGTGTGAAGTCTACTTTAAAAAAAAAAGAAACTAGAGAAGTTCACGGCTTAGCCAAGAGGCCTCCTGCTTTCATGATGGAGTAGCAGAACTTTCTCGATGAGGCTGCCTCCGGGAAGAAGGCACTTGGGCTTCTAAGGAGCAAAACAGGGTAGATTTAGTGAAGGGAAGAGTGTCGTCTGTGGTGGTCGGTAGAAGGATCCTTTCAGGATCAAAAAATAAAAATAAAAAACAAAACCATGAACGAAGATGGCAGGGGTCAGGCTGCTTCACTCAATGCCCATGGGTCCTTCTCTTGCACGACCCTCTGTGTGGTCCTGGGCGAGCTGCTTTTGATTCCGCAGACCCCCATGTCTCCGTCTTTAAAAGTTAAGTGGACTCGATAACCCTTAAGAGTCCCGCTGGTCACACTGGCAATGAATCTGTAATTTGCAAGTGAAAAATACGAAAGGTTATTGCATTACCTAAGAAAATGCACAGTCGATGCTACAGGATAAAATTAACAGTTGTGGAAAGTCCGAAGGGACTAGGATACTCTTCTGAGCATGAAATCCCCACTGAAGATTATTGGTTGGCTTCTGTGTGAATGCAAACAAATACTGACCATGCAAACATAGAGCCAGAGGGAGCCCGATAGAGGCCAGCCTCTGAGGGTCTAGATGTAAAAAGCCGAGAAATGGGACAGACTGGGAGCGCCCTGACCAGCATATTCTCCATCACAGCCATCAGTTACCTTTTGTTAGGTCCTTCTTCACTGTTTCCTAAAACATGCCTTTGGAGAAAGCAGTCTAGCTTCAAGATAGTTTTATCAACATAAATGTTTTACATTCCAGAGAAAGCAGCGTGTGCAACATAGGCCCTAGAAATGGTCAGGGAAAGGAAAGGAAGACACGCGTGCCAAAAAGGTGTCGTAGAATCACAGCACCTTGGAGTTCGACCCGAATTCAGTTCAGTGTTCTCACACGTAAAAGAGAAAAATGCATTAATGGCACCATAGAATGCTCCGACCTTTTGTGTCGAAGTTAGGCTATAGAAGGTAGTTCCGATCACTCAATTCCTCTGTGTGTGTGTGAGCGCGGGGAGATCCCTCACCACCAACGAGCAGTTCTCCGGGCACCAGCTGGGGTCCTACAATTTAACTTCATTCGGGCACTACCTGGAGACAGCATCAGATCAAGGGCTCGATTTGCTGAGCGTGCCCTCCAGCGAGATGGCAATCTCAAGCCCAGGTTGTTCCTGTGTTTCTGACCGACTAGCCATAAAGTGAAGATCTAACAACCCTCCCCTTGGGTTCTGTTAATTTGCCGGATTGGCTAGCAGAAACCAGACAGACGTTTAACTTACTAGATCACCCATTTATTACAAAAGACAGTGACCCAGGAATAGCCAGATGGAAAAGCTGTATAGGGCAAGGTTGTGGGCAAGGGGCAAAGAGCCTCCAGCTCTCTCCTAGCATGCCACTTTCCCCAAATCTCCACGTGTTCGCCAGCTAGGAAGGTCCCCAACCATGTAGGATGTTTATAGAGGGTTCTTTACATAGGCAGGATTGATTCAATTATCGGCCACTGGCGATGGAACTCGTCTCCAGCCCCTCTCCCCTCCCTGGAGGTCTGGGGGCAGGACTGAAAGTTCCAGCCCTCACCTGCTTGTGTCCACTGGGGGGCCAGCCCCCATCTTTGGGTGAAGTCCAAAAGTCAGCTCATTAACTTCACAAAAGACACTTTGTTGGCTCTTATCACCTGGTAAACTCCAAGGGTTTTAGGAGCTCTGTGCCAGAAATGGGGATGGAAACCAAATATATATTTCTTATTCTAAATCACAGTCTCAGGCCAGAACTGTCAATTCTTAGAAAGCCCCAGAGAGTCAACCAGGACTGCCTGGGTTGACACCTTGGCTCCACAGTGGATTTCCTGAGAAGAAATGAGCCTCAACTTCACTGTGCAGAGTTCTAGGTGCTTGATCAACCTCAGGGCTCGGACAGCCAGTATGATCTGGAAGCACGTCTTGACAAAGGAAAAGTATCAGTTAGGAATCCTGGATACTTTTCTTCGGGTGATAGAAGACCGGAACCGGGCTCTAATTGTTACCTCGCCTGGTTCAGACTACCTGCGTTCCAGTGCCATTGACTTCCCCAGGTTTTGAGCTTGGGTCTGCCTCAAGGGCTTTCTGTTATTCCAGAAAGTCTCTGTGAAGATTCCAAGGACTTCTCAGTGAGGCTCCAATCTCTTGCCTTTCTCTATAGAATCATGTATATATGTATGTATGTACATATATGTGTGCATATGTATGTACATGTATGTATGTACATGTATATACGTACGTATGTGTGTGCATATATGTGTGTACGTGTGTGTATATATGTGTGTATATATATGTATATATATACATACATATATATACATATTATTGTGTATATTATATGCACACACATACATTATTATATTATATATACACATACATATATATACATATATATATTCTACATATATAATATATAATATACATATAATATAATATATATTTATATTAAAATATATTATATTTAAATTTATATATAATTATATTGAAAATAATATATATATATGTATATATATATATATATATAAAATTTCCCTCTAGCCTTGTGAAATTTCTGAAATCATCCTTTAAAAGGACAGGAACATTATCTTCCAAAGATAATGTGTGTGTTAAGTATTCATTAATAGGAAGAAAAGTAATGGAAAATTAATGCTTAAAGTGGAAGCCAACTTACATGGTTTCTCCCTTAACCTCCTAAGTTTTTACAGGTGTCATCCCCATTTCCCAGATGAAGAAACTGAGGCCCAGCAAGGTTAACCAACTGTGCCTTCAAGCAGGGGCTGAACAGAAATTCTTGATGAATTTCTGCTTGGCTGCGGGTGCCCGAGCACCTTTCTTCACAACACATGGCATATTTTTTTTTCAAAAGCTTATTTATTTATTTATTTTGAGAGAGAGAGGGAGAGTGTGCGGGAGGGGCAGAGAGAGAGGGAGAAAGAGAATCCCAAGCGGGCCCCTGAGCCATCAGCCCAGAACCCAACTCTGGACTCAGTTTCAGGAACCATGAGATCATGACCTGAGTCGAAATCAAGAGTCAGACACTCAACCGACTGAGCCCCCCAGGCGCCCCACACGTGGCATATTTTTATCGTTTATTTGAAACATAAATTGTGAGCTTGAAAACCCAAACATTACCTACATTCTTTTTTTCTAGCCAACTCCTGTAAGGTACAAAGTTAGAGACATGACGGTCCCCACGGCGATGTGGACGGGGGGTCAGGACTGGCTTTCAAACCCAGAGGATGTGAAGACACTGCTGGCCGAGGTGACCAATCTCATCTACCATAAGAACATTCCTGAATGGGCACATGTGGACTTCATCTGGGGCTTGGACGCTCCTCACCGTGTGTACAATGAAATCATACACCTGATGAAGCAGGAAGAAACCAGCTTTTCCCAGGGAGTGTGTGGCATCCGATTGTGAAACCGTGGACACTGACAAGTCTCAGAAAAGCCTCAGGGAAGAGGGAACCCTTAAATGGAGGATTTTAAGGATTTCCAGAATTGAAAACCCACCATATGAGTAGGGGGGTGGAGAAGGGAGGACAAAGATATAGTACATATTCCTTGAGATTTCCTATATTTGACACTAAAACTGACATTTAAATTTTTATCAGCTAATTAAAATATTGATTGGGTGAACATAGGTTTCATGTGTCATATTCTACCATCCTGAAGGGTAAATTTTACCTGACCGCTAGAGGTTATCTAGGATTTCTATGTCATTCAGAGAGAGCCCCTTAAAATGTTAATTTTCTTCTATAAGCCATCTATTTGGACCAGTCAAGTAAAATGACTGATCGGGACAGAGACAGAGGTCTTGAATCTCTGGACTGTTGTAACCTTGACAAAATAAGCTGGACATTTTCACCTTATTGCTGTAGAGACATACTACTACTCCAGGAAGCTGAGCTGAAGAAAGAAAGAAAGAAAGAAAGAAAGAAAGAAAGAAAGAAAGAGAGAGAGAAAGAAAGAAAGAAAGAAGAAAGAGAAAGAAAAGGGAGGGAATGAAGGAGAGAAGGAAGGAAGGAAGGAAAGAAAGAGGAAGGGAGGGAGGGAGAGGACAATATGGATGAAATACATTTTAAGCCCCATTAGAAAGGGCCAGGGTTTTATAGTTAAGTCTCAGAGGAAATAATTTTGTGAGGAATTTAATGAGTTTTCCATAAGCACGTTACGCACTCCATGAAGCACGTATATGTATTTCAGTACCTAGCACCTAGCCCAGCTCGTTTGAGAGTTCATTGACTGACGCTAGAAGACCTAATGTCCACAAATGTCTGCCCCGGTTTTCTGCCTTCAAAAACGAAAAACTAGGAAGAAAGTATTAGAATGTCATGAGCATAGAGACAACAAACTGTCAAATATTTTATTCTTTGATCTTGATAACTGCCCAGAGTCAGTCACAAATAGAAGAAAATGCTCAATTTTCACACCGTCTAAAAGATGACAGTTACGGTCACACATGAGTGATAGCGTAATTTTGCAAACCAAATTGAAGGTACACAGGTGCGTATGGAAGGTACACTGGTGTGTGAAGTTCATTTGTTGATTCCGTCCCCCAGAGCCACCTGCTAACTCGATTTGGTGCCATGTATCTAAAATAATTTCAGAGACACGTAGGGGCTTCTGAATCTGTATCTACACACTACTATTTCCTTCACAAAACATACACCTTAAGGCTCTGTACATAGCTCAATAAATATTCTGGATTTGATTTTCATTAGCCCTTTGTTCTATTCAAGGATGGTAAATCTTTTCTTCTTAGACTGTTCATTCGTGACCTCATATAGTGTGTGATACGTCTACACTTCAGTCCATGTCTAAAGATATTAATGATTCAGTCCTGCTTGACGAAATTTTATCATTTTTAAAATGTGTTTATTTCTACTCTGTGTCATTGACACAGGACTTGAGAAATGTATTTTGATATTCACTATCTCCCTTCTGGAAGTATAATGCAGATACCATCTTTTCCTCTTGCTCTATTTATTGTAAAGAAATCCTTCGTCCCACGTTAATAATAATATTTTGAATTGTATCAATGAAAATAAACAGAAAGAACAACCTTAGTAGCTGCCTGGTATTCACGAGAGAATCATAAAGGTATTTTTGAAGGAACACTTTTCTCTTAAATGTTTATTTATTTCTGAGCCAGAGAGAGACAGAGCATGAACGGGGGAGGGTCAGAGAGGGGGAGACACAGAATCCCAAACAGGTTCCAGGCTCCGAGCTGTCAGCACAGAGCCCCACGCGGGGCTCGAACTCACGGACCGTGAGATCGTGACCTGAGCCCAAGTCAGACGCTCAACCGACTGAGCCACCCAGGCGCCCCGTGAGGAAACATCTTGATAGTTGCCTAATTTTGTTCATAATTAAGACGGATTTTACTTATAAGCTGACAGCAAAATGTCTAGAGGTATTCTAGTTAAATTGGCTCTCGGGAAAGAAAAAGAAAAAGCCCTGGCTTGTAGGATTTCCCAACATGACTGTGGCCTAAATACCCCCACCCCTGACGACTGATAGATGGTTTTATTGAAGTTGTTTCACCAAATGAATATTTACATATGAAGCTCTCCCCCCACCGCCCCCCCCAACACATCATTCTATACAAATATATCTACTTCGAACCTTCCTCTTACCACTCAAAAGGACGGAGAGAAACAGTCGTTTTTTGGGTATGATATAGACAGGACCACCTCTTGGTCACAGTGGCACATCTGAGAAGAGAGGACCGAGCCAGCCAACTGCAATTCTCTTCTTCAGGACCAACCGGGGTGGAAATGTCACCTTTGTGTTGACCAAAGTGGAAACTCCCACGACTTCAGTGTTTCTCCTAGAAAGATTATGACCATGGTGAACTCCACTGGGAGAAAAAAAAAATCATCAGTACAAAGCTCTTCCACAAATGTCACCATGGCAACCGCCATTAGGGTTACCCATGGTAACCGTAAAACTGCAGCATCCAGGTTGAGCGGTCCACAGGCCGATTGTCCAAAATGGAGAGAGAACACGGCGCTTTAGTTTCTTTCTACTTCTCCACGTGAGGCCTCTAGGATTACGATGCTTTCCTTAGCATTGACTCAATCTGGGAAAACTTCAACCTCCGTGCAATGTCCAGCGAAGTCTCACCATGCTGAGGAGAAAACGAAATTACGGTCCTTTGTCTCCAATGCAGTCCAAGGTCGATGCAAAAGGCCTAGTAAACAGTCTAGACCAACTGACTTACAGGCCCAGCAAGGGCTCTGAAGGTCATTTGGTTCTAACAGGAATAGGACAACGTAATTCCTTAGTGAGGACAATTAGCTTTGTTGTCAACATCAGAGGCAATTAATTCACTTCAGCACACAGCCCAAGTTAGGAGATGCTGTTGCTAGAAGGACATCGGACCACAGCCCACAGATTCTTACCCGATTCTTGATCATGGGGTCTGCATGAGCTTCAAGGAGCAGAGGGATGAGATTCTGGTTTTTCATTTCGCAGGCGTAATGTAACGCGGTGCAGCCGTACTGAAACCGAAAGACCAGCAGTGAGTTCGTCGTGGGCTCTACGGACCCGGCACACGGCTCCTTCGGCAAGCACCTGTCACATCCTAGAGCGTCCCCCCCGGCAGACTGGTCTGCAAATCATCCACGCACACCCACTTTTCTTGTATTTCAAAAGCCTTCCCTGCCTCCATGTGTATATGGTTAACGTCCTATAAGCCATTAATATCTTCCTTTCTCATTTTCTATTCCAAACTTAACACAACCTGCAAGAAGTTAACGCTCAATTGTCTCAAGGTTTCTTGGTGGGATTCTATATGTCTGGGCAATCACCGCCTCGATCATCGTACCGTCTTTTCTCCTCAAGGGTCCCCACACGGGCTTTTTTGCAAACATCATCCCCCGTGGTTGTTGATCAAAATCCCCGCAACCTGAAGATGGTGCTCATGTCACTACAGCCCAGCTCCAGGATCGGTGCAGTTAGTTCTATGTAGAAACCTCTCATGCATGGTTTGCTGTGGCTTATATTCTGCATTCTGAAATAGCGGATCTACTCTGCTGGTACTAACTTAAAACACCAACTACAAGGGAAAAGAGATGGATAGCTAGGGTGTTTGTGCCCCAGATATTGCCTTTCAAAAAGCAGCCCAACAACCATGGTTTGGGTATGTGATGAATTAATGCCAGACCTTATCAACTCTTCTAAGAGCATAACGGATAATGCTGCAATTGCTGATTTTTCTTAAGTGACAACATCATGCACCAAAGAGTTGGCTTTGAACTTTTCCATGTGAAATAAAGTGAGTGTAATTACCTAGAAATACAATGCACCGCATTACTTAGAGTTGGAAAAACTATCTGAATATTCAGATAGTCTTAGAAAAATGGTGGTGCGTGTGTGTGTGTGTGTGTGTGTGTGTGGAATGTAACAGTCCAGCTAGAGATACATATTGAGAAGCAGAAAAATATCCTAGAGAAATTTTGATCACAGGCAAAGTTTCAAACCTTTTGAATTTCAATGAAAGGACCAAGAAAAACCTTCAGCGAACCATTCACCCAATCTTTAATAACATCTTACTTAATACATTTTGAAGTTTTCTAAGGAATGACAGAGCACCATAGTCGTCTATCCAAATTAACCCAAAAATTCTATTTTCTTTTTTTCTTTTTTTTTTTTCATGTTTATTTATTTACTTTGAGAGAGGCAGAGAGAATCCCAAGTAGGCTCTGCACTGACAGCGACAGTGACACGGGGCTCAATCCTATGAACCGTGAGATCATGACCTGAGTCAAAATCAAGAGTCAGACGCCCAACAAACTGAACCACCCAGGTATCCCCCAAAATTCTATTTTAAATAAAAGGAAAAACATACACTTCAGTAACTTATTCTCCTGTGTTCTTTCTCTCTCAATCTCTCACACACACGCACACACACATAGAGCTACCTCTGTTTAAACATGTGATGATACCAATATAATCAAAACTAAAATGATGTAAATAATTAATAGAAATAGGGATGAGCACATTTTCTCTCTCACGGAACAATGGTAACACACACACACCCACAGCGATGCACACGCCATAAAACAAATCAAGGATCACAGAATATTGGTTCGTGTCTACTCAAATTTCAACTTGCCTCCTTTCTCAATAAACAATTGGGAACCCAAAATTTCATCCAATCAATATAAGCAAATAAAACGTCACACAAATAAACATCGGGCCCATTTATGATCATTTAAGGGAGGAAGAGGGGCGCAGGGTGTAAGGGTGAAAGGTGAGAACAAAACCTTATATTTAGTTCGAGACAGGAAGAAGTTCACTGCTGCTTGCTTATCACGCCCTCCGCGCCACTTGGGCTCTTTGACTTTGATCCTTATCCATGGAGTTTACAGGTGGGGACTTGCTTAAGGGTGGGTCGGGAGCTTGGCCACCGCAGCTGTTGTTCGTTGAGCATTTATTGTGTGCCAGGCACTCTGCTGAGCACCCTACATGAGTCTGCCTCGCAAGGTAGGTTCGTGGCTACCCTCACATTACAGGTGAGAAATTGAGAGTCCAATACGTGTATGACTTGTGAAAACGCCCACAGCAAAACGTGAGAAGCTGGGGGCTGCCTGGGCGGCTCAGTCGGTTGAGCTTTTGACTTCGTTTGGCTCACGTCATGATCTCACAGTCTGAGGGTTCGAGCCCCACTTCGGGCTCTGTGCTGACAGCTCGGAACCTGGAGCCTGCTTCGGATTCTGTGTCTCCCTCTCTCTCTGCCCCTTTCCCACTCGTCTCCCTCTCTCTCTCTCTCAAAATAAAAACATTTTAAAAAGTTCTAAAACTGTCCTCCAGTCCATAAAGATCCCTGTGAGTTTAGTGGCAGCATCTAACCAACCCCCAGCTCGCCTGACTAGCAGTGAAAACCGAAAGAAAGAAAAATGAAACGTAAAGAAAGACGAGGAACATGTAGACGTGTCTAGGAAAACAAAGCGAGTGACTCTGTAGGTGACAAATACTCTGCCCGCAAATACCATTCTGAATATCATTTCAAGGTGACTAAACGCATGAACTTACGCAGTCCGTGGCGTTCACGTCGATGCCAGCGTCGAGCAGCATTCGAACGAGAGCCTCGTTCTGCTTGGTCTTTGACACCTGTTACAAACAACACGTCAAGAGGAGGTTCATTGACAAGCATTTTCTCCATCGTGTGCCTGGACTATTCTATTCCACAGGGTTTATTTTAATCCCAACACCTCTGTGCGTCTATGCATCTTTCTTAAAATCTCCCCGCCTCCTCATCCCATCCAGTACCAATCAGGTTCTCAGATTGTGGTCCTGAAGCAGCAGCGTGGGCACCTGGGAACTTAGAAATGCAAATTCGGGGGCGCCACGCCAGACCTGCCAAATCCTACTGAGGTTGGGGCCCAGGGACCGGTCTTTCCCTTCCTGGCTCAGAACCCACAGGCAACTGTCCCATTGCTCTGAGGACAAAAGCAAACTTCCCAGCCTGTCCTGCAAGGCCCAATTTATTTTGGCCTCTGGTCCCTGCCGGCTCACCCCGCCCTGAATGTTCCTTCCACCTAGAAGCCTCTCCTCTCTTCTTCTATTTTCAAAAAACAATTTTTTAATTTTATTTTAGAGAGAGAGAGACAGAGAATCTAAGTGGGGAGAGGGGCAGAAGGGGAGAGAGAGAATCCCAAACAGGTTCCAAGCAGAGCCCAACGTGGGGCTCGATCCCACAACCCTGGGATCATGACCTGAGCCAGAATCAAGAGTCGGACGCTTAACCAACTGAGCCACTCAAGAGCCCTGTTTTAAATTTTTTTTTTTAATTTTATTTTTAAATCCATTTTTAGTATCCCAGCCCGAGCCCCTCTTCCTCCAGGAGGCTTTCCCTGACCTACCCGGCGAGATGAAATCTCTCTCTGGGCTCTCGTGGCACTGATCACCTCCCTGTATTACCTACTTCAGAGTAACTTTGCAGGCGTTTCTGCCGTAATTTATTACTGATGCGTTCTTCACTGCCCTCGAACGAACTCTTGCTCGGACAGGACTCCATCTGTTTGGTTCATCTCTGCATCCCTCACACCCAGTGCCTGCACGTAGTAGGGCCCCAGCAAGAGTGTGCCAGGAGGTCGAACAAAGAAACGAAATGAACCAGACGCCTCAGAAATCCCCTCTTCCTACCCAGTTCCCCGAGACCCTGACCACAGGACAGTTTGGGCGTCACCCCAACATCCCATTGCCAGGGGAGCACGGCAGTCCTGGCTGTCCCGGAGGTCAGCCCTTAGCCATACAGGAAGCCCCACCCAGTTTTCTTCCCTGGTTATACTTCCCTCCTCTGTCAACATCTACACTGCCTTTCTCTGCAGTGACACAGTCCTTCCTGGTCCCTTCCTCTGAAATTTCCTCCCCGGTCGCTTATGCCGTACGTATCTCAACTGCACAGATTCAAGCCCCATGAATAAGTACGAAAATGTGCATTAAGAGGCGCTCATTCATTCCAATTGGTATTTTTGCCAGGGCCTCTGGCTTTTAAACATCTGCCCGTCTTAGAGAGCAGCGTTGTGAGTCAACAAATTCTGAACGAGTCTTTCGAATCCCCCGTGCGATCCTTTTGAAAATAAACAGAAGATCTCTCACCGGCCCTGAAACTGCAACTGCCATGTACTAAACACACAAGTAATTTTTCGAGAACTTTTCTGGAGTATAAACAGAGTATGTGTTTATCAGTGACTTACAGTTTTCTTTTTCCCATAAATCGAAGCATCAAAATCAACACTATCATATCTAATTCTGTAACACTTAAATACCCAAGGAGGTAACAATGACACTTCCAACTGGCAGATTTTGTCCCGGAGCCCATGTTAGCAAAGACAACTAACTAACATCCACGGTCTATTAGCTGCAAGGAGAAGGGAGCTTGGTCATTTAACGAGTAAGTGACACATGTGTTGAGTCATCTCTCAAAGGTGGAACCAGCCACTAGGGAACCAGATGGAAAAAAGGGAATGAGTCAGCACAGAGCTGGTGTTCTTTGGGGGGTAAAAAGAGGGAGGCACCTGGGTGGCTCAGTCGGTTGAGCGTCCGACTTCGGCTCAAGTCATGATCTCACAGTTCGTGGGTTCGAGCCCCACGTCGGGCTCTGCGCTGACAGCAGGAAGCCTGCTTGGAATTCTCTCTCTCCCTCTCTCTGCCCTTCCCTGCTCTCACTCTCGCTCTCTCTCTCCCCCTCTCAAAATAAATAAATGAACATGAAAGAAAGAAAGAAAGAAAGAAAGAAAGAAAGAAAGAAAGAAAAGAAAGAAAGAACATTTTTAGATGCAAACCAAGAGTTCATTTTTGTTACTATTTCTTTATACATGACCGGCCCAGCAAAACTTGATGATTCATGCAGCTGATCTCCACGTTTGCCCTTTGGTCACACACACGGTGTACTCACCATGAGGAAATACCCAATAAGCATAACAGGCATTAAGAGGATAATGAGTAGGTAATCAAAGAAGGTGAATTTTTTCTTCACAGCATAATGCAAGCAGTTTCTCTGTTTCTGAAAATTAAGAAAAGGATTCCTCATTAATATTTGTCTCAAATTTCATATTTTCAGATTACTGTATCAAAAAGTTTAGTTTCTGGGGCGCCTGACGGGCTCGGTCGGTAGAGCGCGTGACTTCTGATGTCAGGGTTATGAGTCTGAGCCCCACATTGGGCAGTGGAACTTAATTAACCTTTAGAATATGTGCATTTTTCCATGCCTTTTAAAAATGGTAAATATAGACCTATAACGGCTTCATGACTTTCTACTGAATGGAGCTATTCTAGTTTATTTAACCAAACCCTATCTGTTGGACATTTCAAGTTTTTAGCTTTCTATTTTTATAAATTATACTGCCTGAACATCTCCATTCATAAGGCTTTGTCAACATTTCTAAATTTGTCTTTAGCCAAAGTTTCTCAAAGTATAATTGCTAACATGAAATGTGTGCGCAATTTCGTATTGCACTAAACTGTGCTCGGGTATAATAACCATTTAAACTTCCTTCCTGAGGCACCCGGGTGGCTCAGTCGGTTGGGCGTCCGACTTCGGCTCAGGTCCTGATCTCTCAGTCTGTGAATTCCAGCCCCACGTCGGGCTCTGTGCCGACAGCTTGGAGCCTGGAGCCTGCTTCGGATTCTGTGTCTCCCTCCCTCTCTGCCCCTCCTCCAGTCGTTCCCTCTCTCTCTCTCTCTTTCTCTCTCAAAAATAAACATTAAAAAAATTTTAAACTTTCTTCCCGATCAACCCTTGATTTTCTTTTTTAATCCTGCTCACTCTGACAAGCCAAAAAAAGAGCGTATTTATGTTTTAATTTAATGTGCTCTCCAGAGAATTGATGGTCTCTATTAGGTGCATGCGTGTGAATTACCCACAGAGCTTTTTGTTTTATTTTCAGGCCTTTGTTTATAGGACGTCTGAAAATGACTCCTGAACATAGATTTAAGACACGAGAAGGCACCGGTTAAGTTATTAACGTGCAAAGATTAGTGTTTGGGAAAGAGTAAATATTTAAAAACCATTAAAACTGTTCTCAAAATAAAAAAATGTAAACCGGACCCTCCTTCTGATAAAGTCTCTGTTCATCTAACATATCCCTAAAGTCCTTCCCAAGATGTCCCTGATGCCAGAGGATCCCTGCAGGCTGGCTGAGGTTCTCCGCCTTCTCGGCCCCATCCCTGTGCCGTCCGACACCGCCTTCCCCCAGCTTCCAAATGAGCACGTCCCCCCGACAGAGGATGTGAACCCACGGACATCTGCCTTCGCCACTCCCACTCACCACAAGCCCACACACCTGGCCCTCCAGCTGTGTGCAAGGGAGACGGTGTCACGGTCCACAAAGCTGCATCGCTGTCACATTCGGTGCAGGCATGCCTTGCTTTTAAACCCAACCGAGCAAAAAATAGAAGTACCAGCAAGAAGGCCCAGTAGCGATCCATTTGCTGATAATACGCGATTGCTCCAAAGGAGCTGGTGTTGATACTGACTCGGAAGGGGGTGAGCGGGCCCCGACAGGCCGTGTTTTCCTCACTCCGTGTATGTGAGTGGAAACAGAGCGCTCGTAAGTATGACAAATAATGACTTTTTATATTTACTGAGTGTACTTTAAATGCCGTCTTTGCTCGGATGCAGACACCGGCCGTTCCAAGGTGCTCCGAAAGAGATGTTCGCAGCAATACACTTGTATTCTGCTCGTCCTTGATTCTGAGGGTTCCGTCAGCTAACACTGCATCTTTAAGTACAATCTTTCTGCCTCTCTGTGTGGCTTCAAGGAGCCTCTGGTTCGTGACCTTGTTTGTCCTTGGCAAATACCTACCTGGCCTTCTTCAATCCTATGAGCGAACGGTAGGATCTCCCGGAGAACATTGACCCAGTAGGTAAAAACGTCATGAAATAGCACCACCAGGTCAGCATTTCTTTTCCAGGAAATCTTTCCCATTCCTTCTGGAATCATGAGGAGGAGGAGCAGGGAGAGGGAAGCAGGAAGGCAGGGAAAAGCATGAGGAGGAAGAGGAAAGGAAAGAGAGGGCTCTAACTAGTCAAATGAATGAACGAAGGAATGAATGAACCTTTCTTTTCAGAAGTACAAGGACATAATTAACCATAATTATCAACCTGCTGGTTGAACTATGATTTATTTTGGCTCTTTAGCCTGATAGAATAGTATGTGTTAGTCCCTTTAAAGTAAAGAAAAAAAAAATTGGTATCAGGAGCTACAAGCAACGAGAAAATGGCACATCCTCGACTGCTAGGAGGAGAAAGGATTACCACAGTCAATTGCTGTCTCCACTCATGTGTAATGGCCTACCTGGTTTTTGAGGTTCACATCAGCATTTCTTTTCAAGAGGAAGGAAACGATTCTCAGGTGCCCCCGGCGGCAAGCACAGATCAGGGGGGTGTCTCCATTAAAGCTATCTTGCACATTGATACAGCTGCGGTCCTCTCTCACCCAGCGCCACACTTGACCAAAGTCGTTCTGATAGGCCGCCTGGCAGATGGGCTAAGAGGGGAAAACCACAAGCAGGTCCTGAAATACCGGCATAATGAAGCCCCCGTACGAGAGAAATCACCACCCGATAATTTAAAACTCAAGTCTTTCCCAATCGTGATACAGTAAAACCTTGGATTGCGAGTAACCTGTTCCATGAGGGTTCCACAAGACGAGCAAGAATTTCTGACAACTTTTCACTTGATAAAAGGGCGATGTCTTGCAATACGAGTCGTACATGACGCCGAATGTCACGTGATCACAACTGAGCCAATAGTTCTTGAAGTTCACTTTGAGAGACAACCGCTTTGGATTACAAGCATGTTTCTGGAACGAATTATGCTCGCAAAGCAAGGTTTTACTGTGTATCGCTTTGTACATGAGATTTTTGGTCTCCATTATGCCGAGCCTTAAATCTAATTTTTTTTTTTCAACGTTTATTTATTTTTGGGACAGAGAGAGACAGAGCATGAACGGGGGAGGAGCAGAGAGAGAGGGAGACACAGAATCAGAAACAGGCTCCAGGCTCTGAGCCAACAGCCCAGAGCCCGAAGCGGGGCTCGAACTCATGGACCGCGAGATCGTGACCTGGCTGAAGTCGGACGCTTAACCGACTGCGCCACCCAGGCGCCCCTCGAGCCTTAAATCTAGAACAAGCCCAAGTCCACGAGGAACCTCTCAACGATTTCCTGAATTGCTTGGCACACAGATGCGTTCATGGAATGAGTGAATAAGTGGAAGCAATATTGCAGATTTAACTCCGCGGGGAAGAGTGTGCTCACGGATGGACAACGCCTGTCAGAGAGGCGGGATTTCACCGAATATAGAGTAGGTGCATCGGAGGAATTTAGGGCAGCACTAGATGATCAAACAAAGACATATGGCGCCCTGTGCTCCAGGAAACCAGCCCAGTGGAAAAGACCCATTTTAGACAAATAATACATAAATAACAAATGACATCATTGATTGGATCCGAGGCTTTTTATTTAGAAAGTGTCCTAAGGGGCTTTGCAAAGCATCATGGGAGCTTGACAGCAAGACCTAAGCTGACCTCCTCCCCTTGCTCACTTTCCCCCACCTCCTTCTGGACCTGTCTTGTGTTTTCAATGCTTCATATTTGGTTTCTTCCATCTGGGCCCCGCCCTTACTGCTTCCTCTGCACAAAACACCTTTCCCGCTCTCTGTTCACCTGGCCGCCTCTGGCCCATCCCTCGTGTCGTCACTTAAGTTTTACTTTATCCGGTCTTTCCTGACTCCAGCCCTGTTTCACAGCAACTGGCCTAACTGTCCACTCTTGTCTTAATTCTGTATAATCGCGCGCTGCAGGCCAGCACGAATCGGGAGGGGTTGAGGCAGCATTGAGTGCAGGAAGGCACTGGCTGCCAGCTTCGTGCGGATAGAGGCTATACTGTTCCACGTAATGTTTGAATTTATTCCATTCATACCCCCAGTATGTAACACAGCACTGGCACATGGTAGGCAAATACTAAATATTCTCAGACTGATTTTAATTAGAGAGTGTGAAAAAAAAAAAAGGCACTTAGAATCACACCTGGCATGCTCAATTTATGGAAATTATTATTACTGCTTATTCAATCGTTCTGTAATTTGGCGACAAGGTCAGACCTCTGCTGTGTCCCAGTCGCAGTTGCCGGGGACAGGTGTACAAAATACTCTCAACCATGCAAAATGTACTTACCGGTTGGGAATATAGCGTGAGCACACACACACACACACACACACACACACACACAC